AAAATTTTAAAATGCAATAACTTCGCCAATATGGATCTGATGGCAATGATTTTACTACCATTCGAATCCTCTCACTGAGACCAATCTAATAATATATAATTCATTAGAATATGTTCACTGGATCTCAAGATTATAAAATTTGAATTTTCATTTTATTTATTAATTATAAAAATTTACATGTATTGATATAATTTCTGTTAATATTGATCAATTTTACCCTCAAAATTGTCAAATTAAACATCATTTCAGCTTTATATATTAACCAGATAGTATTTTTTTATGTGACAATATTGAAAAGATGATTAATAAATGATCGGCAAATGATCGGCAATAATGTAACAATATAAGGAATGTTCGCTATGCTTGTTCAGACAGATAAAAGAATTTCATTAATCAAAGATTATATAGTTTTCAGAATATACTGTATATTACTTTTTATAGATATCTGTAAAAAGGCTTTTAAAATAGGATTTTATTTTTTAAGTACTTATTGACCTTACTAATACTATATTAAAAAGGATACTTTAGTCCAGAATATATATTCAGTTGCCTTTTATGGATATTATTAGTCTTTTTAACTTTATAAGGATACTTTCAAAATAAGGGGTTTTTAAGTATCTATTGACTTTACTACAGTTAAACCTTTATGTACCGATGAGGTTGTTTTAGGGAAAAAATATCAGTACATTGAATTATCAGTACACAATTACTGTATATCATATTGTAAATCACGTCTATTATCAGATTAGCAGACAGTCAGACCTTGATACCAATGCTTCTAATTGGAAACAATATTAATATATTATGAGTAATATAATGCAGACAAATACCGCCCAATTAATAGGCCAAAATAATTAAATTTCAGTAAAATAAACCACAAAAGAGTTCAAATTAAATCTTTTATTCAAGCCAACTTTATAGTACTAGCCTGAATTAATACTAGTGTAACTAAAATATTGGTACATCTTTAATATATATTATTATAAAGAGACCAAGAAAAAGTATCAGTATATGTTATATTGTGAAATTATATATAATATCGATACAACGTGGTTTTTTTATTATATGTGAAATGGGACAATAAAAATTTATCAGTACAGAAAATTATTGGTACACCAGGGATCAGTACATAGAGGTTTGACTGTAATACTATAGAAGGATATTTTAGTTTAAAACATATATTTTATATTACTATTTATCAAATTTAAATATTATCTTTTGATCTAAAATTTTTAAATTAAAGGATTTTTGGGTATCTATTGACCTTATTGATACTATAGAAGGATATTTTAGTTTAGAATATACATTTTATATTATTATTTATCAAATTTAAATATTATCTTTTGATCTAAAATTTTTAAAATAAGGGGTTTTTGAGTATCTATTGACCTTACTGATATTATAGAAGGATATTTTAGTTCAAAACATATATTTTATATTATTATTTATTAAATTTAAATATTATTTTTTGACTTAAAATTTTTAAAATAAAATTATATTCAAATACAAAGTTTGCCAATATTATTTGAATTATCCTATAATTCTATATTGAAGTAGAATATTATAGTAAAAAAAAATTAATTTATCATATAAAAATTCTATTATTATTTTTTTTTAAAGTTAATTCGTGATCCGTCTCCAAACCAGTGAAATCTACTAATACATTTTGGGAAATTATTTTGCAAATTAATTTAGTGGAAAATTCAGATAAGAGCAATAGATATAGCACACAGGAAATGTGAAATGAACTTACAAATTATTAGAGTAGAAGAACTGGTATTTTAAAAGTATCAACTATTCAAAATTACTAGATATATCGCTCAATATAAGCAAAATATAGTACGATAAGTTAGACAATCTGTGTTTAATAGAAATAAATAATTTTAATACTTTTTTTTTTATTATAACCTTTAAATAAATTATTTACCAGCATATAAATAATATTTTAATAAAAAAATATCAATTTTGTGATTGTCTCACCTCTTGTATTGAATAATTATAGCATTTTTAAAGGTCGAAATCCAGCGTCGCTAAAGAAAAAATTTTTTAGCTAATCGTTCAATGTAAAAATTTTTGATTCCCTCAGTTTTAAGCAATTGGTTACACTATTTTTCAGCCGGGTTGTAATACAAATTTGGCTGGTTACTTTTTAGGCAATATCGCCAATTTGTATAATAACGTAACCTTAAATGGCAAGTATATGTTGATCAAACTTGTAATATTAATATTTGACGATGCAAATTTATCATTCAATATACTCAGAATATTATTATATAACACTTAAAAAAAAAAATTCTGGGCAAATCAGCTCAAAAGCCATTTAAGGGATAATTAATTTGTAAAATCAAGTTTCCCGAAATTTATTAGTAGTTTTCACTAGTTCAGAGACAGATCACGAATTAATTTATATTTAATTTTGATAATTAGTTATATATTAATAAACTATATAATTGATACTAAAATATAGATTAATATAATTACTAAACATGTTAATATATTTTACACTTTAATGAATAAAATACTGTAGAGATGATAAAATTTAACTTTATATTTTTTTTACAAGTTTACAAAAATAATTCTTTTTTAGAATTCTATATAAAGTCAAAATGACACTTTTAAATATTAAAAATTAGAATAATAATAAAAGTTATTTCTCATAACTAATTCTATATATTATATTAAGTTTTAATATAGCCAAAATCAAATTCCAATAAAATTATTGAAGTTGAATGTAAAATTTTTTAAAATTTTTTGTTATCTAAAAAATATAGTATTTAATTAAAATCTTAACAGCTACTTGCATAACTAATACAAGATTAACAACAAAATCTTGACAATTCAAAATCTTAACAATCAAAATCTTGACAATTCAAACTCCTGATAAGTCATTATTCAAATGATTTTAGGATTTTGTACTAAAACCTAAAAGAATAGGTATAATAAAATAATTTATTGTAATATGTAAATGTGGTAAATTTTATAATTTGTTCAGGATAATCAACTTGTTGGTATAATGATTTGTTGGGATTTTGACTTGTCAGGATTTTGGATTGTTAAGATTTTGTTATTGGTTTTGTATTAGTTATTCAAGCCTCATCAATATCCAACTCGTCTACAAGATGATTTTTGAGGTTTTGTATCAAAACCAAAAATACAACTTTTAATTAATAGTTAATCTTTAATTTTATAATAATTATTGTCATATAAATTATGATTTAAGCTGCCAAAAGTACATTATAATGCTGGTTGAACTTTAGCAATTTTTAAAAATATATCCTATATATTATAAATTGGCAGTAATATACTGTAAATCCTTTTTTTACCTTTTACCTAATATATTACATTTTCTAATGAGCATTTTTTGGCATATCTTCAGCTTTGTACTAATATACATTCCAACTTTTCTTGTTAGACCATGTATATAATTAAATTCATTTGTTACCACTATTATATAATTAAATTCTGATTGGTATATAAATTAAGGCGTTTATAACTAAAGATCACATGATTTAGTTGCCGCATTTTAAAGGTCAGTGCGTAGCTGCGTATTGTAAACATGTATTGTTGCATTAAGTTATAAATAGTAAAAATTTTGTTACTATTAATAGCTCATTTTTTTTTACGCCTTAGATTCACTTTAAAGGTCAGTACGATTTATTTTTTTAAATCGTATTATTTTTTTACATAAAATAAGATTACATTTTTTTTGTGATAATTTAAGATCATCTTGCATAATATTTTTAATTTTAAAATAAAAAGTAAATCCATTTTGTACATTGTAATATTTTTGTACCAACCATTTAAAAAAAAACAAAACAACAAAAAAAAAAAAATAATAAATGATTTTCAGCAAAATTGTGTAAAATTGTTCTAGTCTGATTTATCCAACGAAATTAAATGAGAAATTTCGATACTTTGAAAATTAATAAAAAAGTGAGACAAATTCAAATGCAAAGTTTTTATTGTCGAAAGATGAATTCTTCAGAAAAATTTCTAAAAAAGGAGAAACATAATTGATGTACTACGGCAATATATAAATAAATAAATTTCGTATCATATATTGGTAATTGGTATTATATATTTAATTACGGTTAAATATGATTGGTGGACTACGTGATGAAGTGTGAATTGATTTCATTTAGTGTCCCATTTAATCCAAATAAATATTTTTACTTATGACATATCTAAATAACGCAAAAAATTGCCATCTTGACAGTATTACATGTATGCGGTCAAGAAAGTAAGGTGATACAGACCAAGAAGGTAACCTTTTCCTAAATAACGGAATAAAGGATAGTACCGTTATGCATTCCCACGTTATACAAGAAAAAAAAAAATGGAAAAAAAAATGATTATGCATTATTATAAAAGGTCAACCGATGGAATAGTCCGATTAAAGATTTTTGCTGGATTTTTCCCTCGCTTTTTTAATTCGAATTTAGGATTTAGAATTTCACTTTTTCTCCATTCGGTTTCTTATAATAAGAATATATATATATATATTTAATTTCTAATTTGTTAATAATAATAATTATTATTTAAGAATAAAAAATTTAATTCAGAATAAATTTAAATTAATGAGTTTAAATATCCTTATAAAATTTTAGTTTCAAAGAAAGGAAAAAAAAGAAATTCAAAATTCAAATTCAATATTTCCATCATGAAATCTTTTATATGGTTATATATAATATTTATATATTTTATAAATTATACATATAGTGAAAATATCACTATTACGGTAGGAGAACGAGGTTTGTATTTTTCACCACAAAATATAACAGCAAAATATAACGATGCTGTAAGTATCTTAATTATTTTTTGTTCTTTCTTGATATCGCTGATTGATATATTTAATATATCCTTATTTTCTTTAATTAGATAAAATGGGTATTTTTAAATGGTAGACATCAAGTTGTACAATCAGACGGACCAGCTGGAAGTTGTGTTAAGTCAAGTGATATAAATGCATGTAAGTAAATGTTAATTCTTTTTCCTCTACGGTATTTATAGTAATCATCATTTTTTCTTAAAAAAAAGTTTCATCGATATTAAAAGAAGGTGGAGAATTTAGTTATATAATAACACAAAAAAGTGGAACAATATATTATTTTTGTTCATTTAGTTCCCATTGTGCATATGGTATGTGGGGTACGATTAATATTGATCCAAATCCTACAAGTAATTCATCACCGCAAACAACATATAACCCTGAACCTACACCTACATCTCCAGATAGTGAAAATAATTTACCTATAATAATTGGTTCATCTATTGGAGGATTTTTTGCTCTTGCAATATCAGGATTAATTATATTTATGTTATATAGAAGAAATAAATATCAAAAACAATTTGAAATTGCAATGCAACCTTATGATCCAAAATTAAATGTTGGTGATGGAAATGATAGAATAAGTAATAGTGATGGTAATATTGGTATACCAGCAACATCTGCGTCATCCGTTAATTTAAGCAGAACAAATACAAATACATATGATGATCATTCAAATAACGAAGTTATAATGTCAAATATATCGCCAAATATGGCAAGTATAGCCCCAAGTATAGTGTCAAATATAGTGCCAAATACACAACTAAATGAAGAAACGATGAGAGGTTATGATGATAGAGCAAGTAGCGTTTATAGAGGAAGGGATTCATTGTACCAATATAATGCTAGCGATGGAGAAAGATCAGAAAGATCTAAATCGCCTCCAACATATAATCCAACACTAAATACAAATTATAATCCATATGATAATGAAAAATCTTATTTAAGACAACAACAACAACAACAACCACCATTTCCCCAACAATCTCTTCAACAACCTCCTATTCCCCCACGTCCTAATAATTTTCCACCATCGCAACAACAATTTGGCGCACCTTACTTACCACCACGACCATTAGCAGTAAACAGGTTCCCACCACAATATGGACCATCATCATCACCACCACCACTTCAAGAGTTCCAATATAATGCATCTTCTGATCCTTTCGGTCCTGCTAATCCTGGTCAACATTATCAGCATAGACAAAGTAATTTACCACGACCTCCACCTCCACCTCCCTCTCAACCACCTCCGTCTCTACCACTTCCTCCACCACCAAATCAACAACAAACTGGTCATTATATCATTGATCCTTCTCAATATTATGGTCCAAATAATAGTGATAATTAGACTAGAAAAATGATTTTTTCCGATAAATTTTATGTTTTTTTTCATATTTAATAAAATATGATCATTTATTAAATTAACACGTGATTTGTACACGTTATAAAAATTTTTGTACTTCCCGAAATTTAATTTTAAATAAGACAAACTATTTATATAATTCCTTCTTACTTCCTTTTTTTTTTAAAAAAAAAAATGGAAGAAAATAAAATTTTTATTAATGTTGTTAGTATACCAAGAGAAATTCTTATAGATATATTATCATTATTGGATCCAAAATCTTTGTCAAATTTATCAAAAACCTGCAAATTCTTTTACGAATTTTGTAAATTTGATTTCTTTTGGTTAAATATGTGCAAAGAGTTTGGAATAGATAAACTTGGAAATTTTCCCAATTTTTACACTATGGTTAGTAAATGTCCACTTATAAATTTAATCATTATCATTACTAGTACATTATTAAATAATTATTTGTTAATAATAAATTAAATTAAAGTATACAGGAATATTGTACAAATATGGCTGGTTGATTGGATATTGGGCAGGAAATAAACCCATAAACGGTTCACTATTACATTTAAAATTTGATCCATATAAATTAAGTATAATAGCGTGGAAATTAGAAGCCATTAATAAATCATTAAGTGGTGTTCCCTGGTCAAAAAATTTTTCAGTAAGATTGGTACATGCTGAACCAAAATTTACATATCAAATGTTATTTTGCGTACAATATGACAATAGCAAGCATAAATCCAAAATTATAAGAAGTAATTTATTATATGACGAAGAAGATAACAACGATGAGGAATTTATAATCAGGAAAGCTATATTTGAAAAACACCATGAGAGTGAATTATGGAAACGAGAAGAAGAAGAAATTTATCAGGAAAGTATTATTGGACAACAAAATTGCTTTTCATTTGAAGATGAGAAATTTTTTAAATTTTGGACTCCGAAAGATAATCAAAAAGAAAATAAACGGTTTGATGGGATTTGGGTTGGTGATTATGGTAGGTTCTTTTCAAATAAAATACATGTATATAAATAATATATATAAAAAATCGATTCTTACTTTAACAAGTTGTACAGGAGGACACGGGATAGAATTTTTATTATTAAAATACGAAATTAGTGGTTGTCTTTTCGCGACAAAAATTACTGGCGATATTAATGTACCTCGTGGTGAAATTAGTTGGAAATGTAATTTGGATGATCAGTTAAGAATTTGTGATGAAAGAGAATGGAATGGTAAAATTTCCTATCGTGCTAAATCTAAAATTGCTTATGGAGGTTTTAGAAATCCCTCCGAAATTGACTCCGAAGGTTTTTTTTTTTTTTTTTTTTTTTTGAAAAGGAAATTTTTAAATTTGAATTGATCATTCTACTAACAATAAATTATCTTTTTTTTTAAAAAAAAAAAAATTTTAGTTATCATTGTTTCAAATGACGAATTGGCTGTTTATTGGTATGATTTAAGAAGTATAACTACTTTCGTTAGAGTTATTTAAAGAAATGAGTAACAATTAGAGTGTCCAAGAATCCTGTGATGGATAATCCGAATAAAAATTACAGAGTATTCGGATTATCCTTGGCTTACTGGCGCAGCAATTATCCGCATTTTATTTAATTCAAATTTATTACAATTTTGCTTGTTAAATAATGTGTCTAATTTTACTTAATCAATTAAATATACTATCAACCGTGTTACCATTTCTTTTAAGAAATGTTAACGCTTCAAACAAGTCTTCTTTCATTGAACTGTCATTATGACTTTATTATATATATAGCTTCATTCATGTTATCTACCGTTCACAGTCACTTGTGACATAATCGATGTCTTGTATTTTATTATTTATCACCGGTAACCATTTTTAAAAGAGTTAAAAGCTTTAAGAAGCTTAATTTGTCCTTCATTAACATTTAAATAACAATTAAGCTATAAACTTTTATTAAACGGATAAAATAAACCGGATATATAGGCTAATAGATACATTAAATTTGGTTTCTCAATTCATAATCAATTATATACAGTATAAAGTATAAATCTTAATTTTCGGAACTTTGGTTTAATCACATGATGTACATGAATTGGTTTATGCATTTTTTTAATTTACTTTTTTAATTTAACCAGCATTTCTTGCATTTCTTGTTTACTTGAAACCTGGTTATAATTTTTCACGTGTAATTGGATATGTCCGTATCGATTGGTATGTTAATCTTTGATCGGAAACACAATAAAATGTATTTTTGGACACGTACATACGTGCCACATGGATTTTACGCGATCGCTTTTGCCGATTTAATTCGTAATTGTAATTTGTAATTGTAATTTTATATTTTTTTAGTTTTTGATAAAGAATGCGTATTCAATAAAAATATATTTACTCACAAAGCAATCAATGTATAGAGTATATGCATGGTTTTATTCTAAAATTTTATTTTAGAAACCAGTTATAAAAGTTTTGCGAATATTAATATTTTCATTCGTTTAATTTATTAAACCTAAATAATTACAATTAAGACGTATTAACTGTTATTATTGACAGAAGAAAAAGGCATGCCGATCTTAGTGGGCCGATATTCATTCCAATAACAATATAATTTATATTTATATTTGTTACCTTTTTTTTTATATTAATTTTGAGGTCTTTTTTGAAAAAAGTAATGTTAACATCCAATAAATTCGGTCATTAGAAATAATCTACTAGAAATTATACCGATTCTACAATATTAGCAATATTATACCGCTGATCGGTCCTCATAATCTTAATCAACTGAATAATATTTTTGAGTTTGGTTATTTAAATTAATAAAATTTATTCAAAAGTATTTATAATAAATATTGTTGATGATATGCACCAATGACTTTTTATTGGGTTATGCTTCAACATATCATTGCATATCGTAAATTGTAATTATTACTTATTTACTAAAAGTTATAAATACATTTTTAAAGATTATTGCCATTTACTGATTTATACTAATAATATAAATTACCTGGTATCTTTATTTAAATTATAAACTTACATAAATAATATATTCTTAAATACATAAAGAAATATTCTAAGTTATATACTATAGTGTAACATGTTTTTGTACACATTATATTAAATTACATGGCAAGAGCACCCATAGGATCCCAAGCAGGTAATACTATAGGGCTTTGATCTAATACATCAACTAACTCTTTGGGTGTATCATTCTTTTCCAAAACTATTTGATAAACCCAATCACTAAACCAATCGTCAGACATTACAAAATAACCTTTATCTCCACGAGAATCTCCCCAAGAATTTTCAACTCTCCAACGAACAGGTTTATCATTGTCAAGATGAACACCTTTTATAAATATAAATAATGTTTAAGATAAATCATACGCAATAATTATAATATAATTTTTTTCACTTACCAGTTAAGACCATAGCATGAGTCATTGCACTTTGTGCATATTGTAATCTTTTTGCCTTAGTCAATTCAAATTTAATATTAAAACCTAATTCATAATCAATAATTCTATTATCAAAAATTCCTGAAGGTACATGAATTCCTTTTCCAGAATCTGAACCAAACCATACTGGCTTTCCAGAACGTAATGTGTCAATTGAAAGACGTTTCATAACATCCATTGAAATATTCACATAGCGAATCGGAAGGCCTCCTTGAATGTTACCAAGATATTTAACAGTATAAAGACGAAGATATTCATTACGAGGATCATTTACGAGCGAATAAGTCTCAGTTGCCTATAATGATTTTTTTTAAAAAAGATCATTTATTATTAAGTAATTATTAGCAAGAACATTTTATAAAAGAATTTCTACCTTATATCCAATAAAATCTTGATAAAAACTCTTTGAAGTTAAACCTTTATGGCTATGATATTTGCCATTTCCATCTCTAAAAGTCCAATCAAATTCTTTGGGTGGTTCACCAAGCGAAATAGCAATAATTCTGTAAATCTCTTCCATCATCATAATTTTTGCATTTCTTAAAGTATTTACATCCTTTCCAGAGGCATTTAATTCACGTAATTGAAATGCAAATTCACGTAATTTAGTTGCCACTAACCAATTAAGTCTAGCAGAATTAGAAGAATTATAACTTTCAGGGAAAACCTAAAATAAAATAAAATTTAATTAAATTCTTAATCGATTATTTTATTTTATAATTTATTCACTAATAAATAACTTACAGATTTAGGGACAACACCATATTTTTCCAAAAGATTAATGACCTATTACGTATTATTATTGTAAAATTAACATAAGACAATATATTAAAAAACAAATTTAAATGGCACATACCATGTCCCATTGGCCTCCATCTTCAACTGGTGACTTAATTAAGTATTGAATCAAACGAGAATCGACATCCTCGTTAACTAGTTCAATCATATTTTCAAGGAAATCTATTAAAAATAATAAATTTTCTGATTAAATAAATAGAATAAATTCGACCACCGTCGGTTCTATAGTGATTCTTACAATTAGCCTTTTCCAATTTGTCATAAAAAAATAAGAAAGGTTGTGATAATTCGAAGTCATCTAACTTATATCTAAAAAAAAAAAGTAATTTAATAAAATTTAATACAAAGTAACGAGGATAACAATACTTACTTTTTCATAATAATCAAACGCAAAACATTAGTGGCAGCAAATAACCAACAACGTCCAGAAGATTTTTGATTAGTAGCTTTGCCTTCCAATTCAATTTGTTCGGAATATACGTGAAGGTCATCTATGATGGTCTATAATTATATATACCATTTTAAATATAAATCTTTTTTTCACAGTAATAATAATAACTTGTTTCACGTGATTAGTCAATACTCCTAAAATTACCTCACGATTTAACAAAATTTTTGACATGTCATCGCCAGAAATAGCATTCAATGCTAGTCGATTTTTTGGATCAGAGTTTAACTTATCACTGATTCAGAAAAAGAAAATAATCTTAATAACAATTAGAGTCGGACTATTATAATACAGTACATATTTATACATACGAAAACTTGTTAAGATATTCTTCCTTCAATGCTGTGCTTGGGTCATCGTCATGACATTCTCCGGTTAAATATTGTTCTGCGATATCAGCTTTATTTTCATTACTCTCATATTTTTCAGAAATAATCAAATCTCTAACTTTTATGAGTGAACGACGCCTTTTATTATTGTTAATAGAACGTGAGTGATTTTGGCCCATGTTTTTTTTCAAAAAAAAAATAGTAAGTGTATGCGCGTAAAACACTAGCTAATCAGAAGCAAAACAAGTTTCACTTGGTTCGAAAAAGGAATAATTTTAGATACTTTTAAATTCTACAGGCTAGAATTTGCTAGAACAAATTTTATATCCAATCATTTTCGACAAGCATTAAGCCCACGTGGACACATTTATATATAAAAGGATACAAAATCTTTTCGACTTAAAATTATCGCTTAGAAAATACGTACAAATAGACTTTTTACTATTAATATTTAAAACATTTAAAAATAGAAATGCTAACTTGTGTTCATAAAGGTTGCGAAAAAACATATAATGAGGAAGAAAACGATGATAACGCTTGCCTTTATCATCCATCACCTCCAATTTTTCATGAAGGTAAAATTATTTTTTTTTTATATTTTTGAGAAATTTGTTTAATAATTATATAAATATATTCTTTTTATGTTGTAGGATTAAAAGGTTGGCAATGCTGTAATCGCCGTGTTACGACATTTGATGAATTTCTTGCAATTCCAGGATGTACTCGAGGGTATCTACAAGTTGTGAAGCGAGATTATTGAATTTTTTTTGTTCCAATTTATTATGCTAAACGAACGTTTGATCTGTAAATATTAGACGGCATACAGATCAATTGGAAAACCCTCCGGAGAATACTACTACCACTTTAGAAACAGAAGCGCCCGCCACGAAGGCTGCCACACGAGTCGAGAATGGTGTCGAGATATATGATTCCGGTCCAAAGATTTCATATACTCAAACAATATCTAAAACTATCACTGAGGAGCCTAAACTCGCACCTATTGAGAAAGAGCCAGAGGAGGATGATTTGAACATTCCCGTAGCTTCGGATACAGAATGTAAGAGACCATCGTGCGGCAAAAAATACGTGGATGATGCAACAAGTCGAGGGGAAGGACCAGAGGCTGAATGCATTTATCATTCTGGTACCCCAGTTTTCCATGAAGGCAGTAAAGGTATGGATAGTGGATATATATATATAGTAAAATAACTTTATTCACATATTTTAAAATAATAAATATTTATAATATCTCTAAATTAGGTTGGAGTTGCTGTTCTAGAAAAGTACTGGAATTTGAAGAATTTTTAAAGATAAAAGGATGCAAAAAAGGAAAGCATCTATTTGTCGGATCTGGTAAAGAAGTTGTAAGAATCAAAAAAGATTTAAATTTCTCTTGTCTATTGTTTGAATGTACACTAAGCATTACCTTTATTAGAAAAATGTTGAAAAAGAAATTGTACAATGTCGACATGATTGGTACGTCCTTTGTTATTAGACGTGAAATTTAAAAAAGAATATTCATTTAACCTATTTATTGACAATAGGTATCAAACTCCAACGCATATCATTATGTCAATATTTGCAAAGAAAGTAGATAAGCAAAACTCTTCCGTTACTTTCAGAGAAAAAGAGGTAATGATATGTCTTTATAAAAAAGGAAGAAATATATATTACATGTTTTACCTAAATTCTTATTTTTATATCAAATTAAGCTGGATGTTGACTTGAAGATGCCCGATGAAAAGAGATTTATAACTACATATCCATTATATCAATTGATTGATAAAGAAAATTCTACATTTGAGATTCTAACCACTAAAGTAGAAATTAAATTAAAGAAAGGTAAGCCCAGATTATTTACATAAATACTATATATGATTGATAATTACTAATGTTTATTTCGTAAACGAATGAAATAGCAAATGGTATTTCTTGGCCATCATTGAAATCTGATGAAAACCTGGGAATTGCAACAACATTTGGTGTTCAAGGTGGAGCAGCCACAGTTGGAGGCAAGCAGTATACTTTAGCTACAGATTCACCATTATATGCGAACAAGTAATTAAAGTATTTCTCAGTAATCTAATCCTTCTAATGCTAATGCTTGTAATGTCCTTGAAACTTTTACATCAGCTTCAGTAGCTTCATCCCTTTTATCATAATCAGTAGTTACTTTATCAGACGATTCTAATAAGTTTTCTAGTAAATTGGCTACAAAAATATATTTATGAACTTTGTTAAACTCTGGGAGTTTTTTTAGAAATAATAATAAACACTTAATCACTTACCACCAACTCTTTTTTCAACTACTTCTACGACATGGAATCCACTTTTCTTTTTTTGCTGTTCTTGTTGTTCGACCATATTAGGATCCAAAAATTTTAATTTTAATGTTGGATGTTTATTAAATGTTACATGTCCTCCCCATAACCAAGTTGGTATTGTACACGGAATTTCTATTTCTGCTGAAAATTTTTCAACAAATTCGCTTTCTTCTGATGAAATAACTCCACCCCGAAGATACCTATCATCTCGATTATTTAAAAAAAGGCAAAAAATCCTTAATATACAAAATAATGAATTAAAAAGAAAAATAAATACTTTTTTTTTTACCTTAGGAATTCGCCCATAGCTGAAGATATGTTCCACATTTGCAATTTTCTTAAACAAGCTATAACCAATCCTGTAACATTTGCACCGTCTAAACAATGTACAAATACTGGTAAACTAGATGGATCTATTATTATCTAAATTTATAAAAATTGAATTAATAAATATATATGTAAATATATGTAAGTTGAAATTTAAGAAAATTTACCTGTATTAATTGAACAACTTTATTATAATTTAATGGTACATTATCTTTAACCTTACGAACATGAAAATGTATATTTTTTATATTTTCATTTTGGCAAAATTCTAAGAGTTCGGGTACTGGTGGATCAGGTACAAGGGAAAGCATTGTTTTAAGTTTTAATCTACGTAGAAAACAAAAAAAAAAAGTAACAAGTATTTAGTAAATAAATTTTGTGCGTAAAAATATTTTGTAAATCGTATGAAATATTGGAAGGAAAATAACCTTTTCAGAAAACGGTAGTTTCGATTTTTTGGATACGCTCCACGGTATACTTCATCTTCAACTATAGCAAATCTGAAAGGAGTTATTAAGGGTGAAACCATAATAAAATGCGAGGGTTAAAAATGAATAAATTCGTCGAACGTCGAACGTTCAATTTCAATAGATAATCATTATCTAATCAGTAGCCTTAAATGTTCTTACATCATATCAAAAAAAATTTTTTTAACCCATTAACAATAAATATATGTTCTTATTATTTAAGAATTCCTTTATTGAGTCACCGTAATTATAGTTATAAGGGAAAACTTAGGTGGTTAACACGAAAGACAAATATCTTAAACATGTCCATAAAAGAACCGTTAGTTTGGATTGATTGTGAGGTTAATCTTTCAAAAGCTTTATGGCTTAACTATTAGATAAAATTTTGAATTTTTATTTTCTCCTTAGATGACTGGTCTTGATATTAAGAACGATCATATTATTGAAGTAGCAGTATTGATTACCGATGGAGATTTGAATATTATTGCAGAGGTTTTAGTTATTTTATATTTGCAGCAGTGGAATTCATAATTCATAGTATAAAAATCCATGACAGCTAATAATTGGATAATATTTAATAATTTCGAATAATATAAATATAATAAGGGTCCAGATTTTGTTATTCATCAATCAAAAGAAGTCATGGATGGAATGGGCGATTGGTGCAAGAAACATCACGGAGAGGTATTTTATTTATTTTTTATTCATTTTTTTCTTTTTCATCTAACTGCAATACTTAATAGTTTTTTTTTTAAAAAAATGTTTGTTAGTCTGGATTAACATCAGCGGTATTAGACTCCAATATTACAACATCGGAGGCGTCAAATCAAATTATAGAATTTTTGAAAAAACATATTCCCAAATCAAAAGTTGCTCCTTTGGCTGGTAATAGCGTACATTCTGATAAAGTATTTTTGCAAAAAGAAATGCCAGAAGTGATTGATTATTTGCATTATAGAATTGTTGACGTTAGTACTGTAAAAGAACTATGTAGGCGTTGGTATCCAAGTATTTTTCAAAATGCGCCACAAAAAAAACTTAGTCATCGTTCTCTTGATGATATCAAAGAAAGTATTAATGAATTGAAATATTACCGCCAAAACATATTTATTGTAAATGAAGATACTACGAACAAAAAACGTAAAGAAAATTCCTAAAACATTAAATCACTTCTTAGCACATACTTAAAGCCTCTTTTGACTTCTTTAGCTTCCTATTTAGGATTGAAAGTATAATTGATCAATAAATTTTTTAAAAAAGATGGTTTTATGCATAAATTATAACTTACATGTAATAAACAATCATGTCCATGTTTGTGTAATAAAGCCATTCCTCTTTCTGGCTTAATTACAATTTCTTCTTTTTTCTTATAAAAGACGGTCTCTCCTCCATACAGAGATACTTCATTCTCATTATCGCCACCATTTAAATAAATTAATAAAGTCCATTCACTTATTCTACCCAAAGAATCTTGTACAGAATCATCATAGTGCTGTCCAAATTTTTGTCCTTTACTATATTTATAAATCCTAATATTTGGATTTAATCCCACGGCAGGTTTCTTGGTTAAAGTTGAAGACCAATTTGATACTAAAGGACTTAATCCTGAATCATATAATTCTTGAGAAAATTTTATATCTTCTATAGAAAATCTATCATTGTCTCTATATGCTTCTCCTTTTTTTGGCTTTAATGATTGATTAGCAGATTCTAATGAGATTGATTTATTAATAAAATTTATCATATTCGCACACTCTTTCGGTGTAAAAAATGATGGTATTATTACTATCTGATCTTGATAAATTGTTTCGATCTGTAGATTTGATTTTGTTGATATTATTGGCCAGCTTAAAATGGTTGTAGGCGTGTTATTAAAACGTCGTTTAGAAAATTGGTTTTGATCATTTTGTTTTTTTATTGCTTTATTTTTTGATTTTGGAGGCATATTTTATAAATAAAATGGGAGAAATGAAAGTGATAACTCACGTGGTTACTATATCGGTGACTTATATGCTATTTTACCGTTTTGATCACGCTTTTTCACATCCACGTGACTTCATATAATTTTACGTTCTTCATCTAATAAAATAAAATAAAATAAAATAAATTTTTTTATTTCTAAGATTATTGTTTTATAAGTTGTTATTGAAATTGAAGAAAGAAGAGTTCAAAATACAGTCAGCTCGCTCCATAATTCCCATGTTTTCGAGCAAATGCAAAAAATTATAATTATCAGTTCCCCTCTAAAACTATTTCGGAATTTCAAGTATGTGAAATGTTCTAACACGGATTTGATAATTATTATATTGAAAATTGATTATTTAAAACCATCCAATCAAATTTAATATACTAATATGATAAATCATACCAATTAATTATTATTAGAACTTATTTAAATAATTTTAAAATATTTTAATATGCAGATCGCTAAGATCAGTTATGAATTATATATTAAATATCAAGGATTCTTTTGCAATTAATTATAAAATTTATCGTGCTCCGTATATTAAATATAATTGCTGATAATTTTGTTATTTTTAAAAAAAAATCAAAAATAATCTATAATTAAGCTAAAGTCCATACAATGGGGTCACTCGATAATATCGATATTGTGCTTTGCGTTGATAAATACGTGGCCAAATCTGTCCAATCAGAATGCTAGAATTGGTTAATAATTGTGATATTAATCGCAATAACTTATAAGTATTAATTTAAATTAATTGCAATATTATAAATATTGTAAATCTTACTTTTAAAATAAAATCCGAATTTTTTTACTATTAAATAATGCAAATTATATCTTTTAATTAAAAATTAATCTGCAATTATAAAGATTTTCTTAAAAGAAGTTTAAAAAAATCACCGAAAACCCTTCTTTGTATTTTAAATCAGTTTTATATAAATGTGTTATTTAATAATTTGTAATTCTATTAAAAAAAAAAATAATTTCATCAACAAATTTACATATCATTCTATCATTTACAAATATATGTATATGTATATCTAATTAATTTATCAACTTATTACTAGTAGCCTACTCAGGGTCTTTTTAAAATAACAAATTATTTTCATTAATTTAAAAAATGTTTTCTTTGGATAATTACCAATCTTTTATAACTATTTTTCTTATTTTTCTTAAATCTAAATAAATAAATTAGTTAATTAAATAATTATATATTATCATTATTATTAAATTTTTTTTCTAAATATTCAGGTTGTAATTCTTTAGGCAAAACTCTAAATTCTTTATCATCATCATCATCAATTTCAGGATCGTGTTGTACAGGAAAATTATGTGAGTAAGAAGGATGGAATTCTCTTGAAGGATCGGATTCAGTATTAGCAGACGTTGAATGTCTACTAAAATCATGTGAAATTTGTGATGTTGTGGCACTATTCATTGATTCATATCTCCTATTAAATCCAGCATCTGTAAATTCTCCTGGCGTTTCTATTACTTCTTCCATCACTTTTTTATTTCTGTAAAACCAAAATAATCCCCCTCCTAATAGTATTAGTACAACAATACCACCAACTGATAATCCTGCAATTAACCCTACATTTGATGATTTTCCTGAATTTGTTCCTGGAAGTGTATTAGTGTTTATTGATGTTATCCATTTATAACCCTTATCTTTAGTATCTAAAGCATATACATCAGGTGATGAACCTTTGTTTGTGATATTTCCTATTACGAGAAATTTAAATTAGTCCAATTTTATGCATAATGTCAACTGCGCATACTATATACTCGCTACACTTACCGAAAGAAACAATCATATAATCTCCAACCAATGACGCAGAGTGATACGCAATCTGCGGAGGTGCAGTTCCGCTTGCTTTAGGCTGGCTCCACACGAAATTATTATTAGTGGTATCTAAAATAGCCAAATCTGGACTTGACGCAGTATATTTCCCATCCGCAGAAATCGAAACTGCCCCACCGTATATAATAATGCGTTCATCCGAAGCTAATTTTTTTTTAAAAAATAAAATCATTAATATGTTAGCCTTTTTACAGAACGAGTCAAATGTAAAAATTTTCATACTTAGTACAGCGGAATGACCACCACGTGGACTAGGAATTTCGCCCGTGGCTTCCTACAACATATTTAAAATATTAGAATGAACCTTATCATATACACGAGATAATTTTAGCTCTGGCTTACCTTGTCAACCCAAGCAGCTGAATTAGTATCATACATATTTATCTGGTCAAAAAAAAAAAAAAATGAGAATTATTCAAGCAATATTTTCCTCCTAATTTTAAATCCAACCAACCTGGCTCATAGGAACATAACGATTGTTTATATTACTTCCACCAATATAAACTATAAATCCATTACTTAGGATTGTAGCAGAAAAATCACTTCTAGCATCAGGTGCACCATCTTGAGTTCCAGTACTCCAGCTCCAATTAATAGTATCCAATATAAACATATCATTTACCAGAGAAATGTCTGGCTCAGGTGAGGTTGATCCACCAAAAATATACATTTTACCTGCACTATCAACAACAGCTTGGGTTTTCCTTTTTCTTGCAGGTTCACCTTGAGGTGCCGAAATTACAGGTTTAGACCATGTATTATTATTAGTATTATATACGATCACTAAACTACTATTTTCAGCTGGAGTCATATTTCCACCAAAAAGAATAAATAAATCTTTATTTGCCCCTCCGGCTACAGCCGTTCCCGAACTTGTAAACAAGTTATCTATTCCCGTAAGTTCTGTCCATGGTAACGTTGTTGAATCTGTTGAACTTAGTACCGATGTGTCTAAGTAAAAGAAATCTGATATTATAGGTTCAGGTAGAGGAACAACTCCTCCCATATAATAAATTTTATTGCCAATAAAGGCTGAAGTTTGTGCAAACCGAGGTAGTGGTGTGAAGCATATAACGTCAAGGACAAACGAACTTATCAACGCAATTGACAGTGTCAACCGCACAAGTGACGAGAATGCCATTTATATTATATTGTAAATATAAGTTTAAGTCGCCGTTGCTCCCCTCCACCTCAAAATTTTGAATAAAGAATGTAAATTTGAATAAAGAATGTAAATTATTAAAAAAAATCCCGGAAAAATTTATTTTTTTTTAAAAAAAAAGAAGTAGGTATAAGTGTTAAAAGTGTAGAAGTTCCTAAAACTTTAATTCCAGAATAACAAGAATAACAATTGTGTAACTTTCTAGATATATTTACATCGTTTGTAGCAATCACAAGGAAACAATCATCGTCACGTACAACATTAATTACCAATGTTTCAAAGTGTATTAAATTTGAGCGCATGGTTTTTTAGAAATAAAAAAAATTGGTTTATTAATTTCTCGATCATTTTTTTTTACGCGGAAAATTATAAATCATGTGATCATTAAGTAAAACAGGTTCATGCTTCCGTGCAAAGTCTCCCCGAGTCTCCCGTCCGAAAGAAGCCACCAAGTTTAACCCGTGTTGGCTTAGGTTAAATTTACTGAAAAGAAATTCAAGGAACTCAAACAGTATGATTTAATGGCATATAATTATTTATTTTTTTTTTTATTTTTTTTTTATTGTACAATCAAAAATTGCAAACCAAATATAAAACAAGTTGAAACATACGAAAATAGTGTGCTAGCTGCCAAGAAAATTTATTTTAATAACTTTACCACAGTATATATAGATCATGCAGGTTTTTGATCGACAAATTATTTCTTTAACAAATTAGGGTCTTCAGATATTAAATATATTCCTTTATAGAGATAACAATGTTACGATAAACTTAAATGGTTGATTTGCTGTAATGAATTTGCTGCGCTTTGTATAATAATATCATGTGATCGTAAATGATTAGCAGATTGCGGAAAGTTTTTTTAAAATTACATAATTCATTTTTCCAGTGACGATACTTGAAAATTTGATTTTATAAAAAAAAAAACACTTGAAATTATAAAAACCTTTATTATATTATAAATTTATAAAAACACCAATAAAACACCATTACTCTTATATCATAAAATAAAAAATTCAAATATTATATTACGAAATATCTTTTACATCATATACATGTATATGAGTAATATAAATAAATGATGTATGCGCGATGCGCGCAAGTGTGCGCAAATGTGCGGGAAATAAGTAATGAACTGTGGAACTGTGCGGAAATGTGCAAAAATGTGCGGGATGTGTGAAAATGCGTGGAGGCGCATGCAAAATTTTTGTGTGCGCGAAGCGCACAAAAAAAAATTTTGGTCATGTGCAGAGTTTTAAAAAATTTGTGCGCGCGCACACTCCGCACATTGAATTTCAAACACTGAATTACCGAGTAAAAAGGAAAATACAATGATGTCAAGAAAGCTAATTTCGATTAATTATAATTAATTGACTTTATATCATTTTTATAAAGGCAGTTTCTATAATTCTATAGTGACCCCAGATTTGGGGGGAGTAGCCGTAGTTATTTAAATAGAGAGGGTGGGGTTTTTATAATCTTAGTTTCTTTATTTGTAATTTTGGAAGATTATTTGTTCTTTGTTTTCTATTAGTTCTGCACTTGTTGCGGTGCTTTCTAGATCACTCTGTGTTCTCTAAAGTCACTTCGGCATTAATTAATAAAATTCAAGCTCAAGCTATGTTTATATCTATAGTGACCCCAGATAATTATATGAGGTCACATCCGCAGTACTAATTAAAAATCCAAATGTAATTTTGCTGTTTTGATATCCATTTTTATCATATAACTTATAGAAAAAAATTATTTTCTCACCCTGGGGTGCAAATGTATCGTTCTTATACGATCAGGTGCTATGTTCTTATACGACGTATATGTCACATAATATAGGTCGTATAAGATAGTATGGGGTCGGTGGAGTCACGTAATCGATACTATCACGTGACGATCAAGATTGGTCCATTAAATTTAATTTTTTATAATATTATTTTTTCACTTCCATTTTATTTTCTATCAATTCCATTTTGTCTTATACTATTCCATTTTACTAAAATTGAAATTTGTATTACACAAATTTATACAATTTCCTAAAAAAGGAAATTTCTTTACTAATCATTTAATAAAAAAATGGTTTTTGTCAAATAAATCACCTTTGTTATTTTAAATAAATTTGCAAAAATACATTATTTTTAATATTATATGTTGATGTATTATAAACTTTTTTTGTTATTTTGGTTTAAAAAGTATTACAAATAAAACATATAACAGGATATTATATATATATAATAAAAATTAGCAAACAAGTAATAATACAGGTAAAATGTAGTAAAACATCAAAAACTATTTTAAATTAATTTGATTGAAAATAACATCTTTTTAATATTTAAATTCATTTTGGTTTACAACAAAAGTATTGGTAAAACTTATAATTAAAAACTATTATTAAATAATAAAATATTTAAATTAATAGATTTTGAAATAATACTAATTAAAAGATTTTTAAACCAAAATTTCCAATTATTTGCAATTAAATTTTCTTAATATTTAATAACAGGATCCTGGATATATATAAATTAATTTATAATTTAACTTTACTAATAAAAAAAAAGCAAATTTATCCAAATTTGAAAATTTAAAAATCAGTTTTTTATCATTTAATGGTAATTTTTTTTTAAATTTAATTATTGATGAATTTTACAAAAGTTTATTTAAATCTGATTACTAAATTTTAAGATAATTGCAAAAAATTAAAAAGTGAAAAGTAGTACAGATCAGTTATTAGATGTCCAGAATCCTACAATTACTTATAAAAAGAAACGCATTTGTACAGTATTTGTACTGCTTAGAGAAAATTTCCTGTTAAAAACTAGAAATTTCTTGAAATTTAACTACAAATTAATTCATATAAAGTAGGTTTTATAGTAATAGAAGCTATTTCGAATTAATGATTCATTCTTATTGCATTCCACTGATAAATAATCTAATCAGAATAATGATGAAGTTATGATCAAAATATTTTAGCAGGGTCTGAGGGTCTGATTGATTTGTCAGAAATTTACCGGTTCTATGATTTCTGCGGTTTGAAATAAACCTTAAAGTCAAAATTCTTGCAGATCATTTATTTAATTTGAAAATTCGATCATCATGCAGTGCTATTCACATGTGAAACTTGTAGAATTGACGGGTTTGTACTAGGTAATTCCAGTTGATGTTTAATTCCAGAAGAATCTATATTGAAATTTCAATTATAAAAATGGATAAAATGGATCATCAACCTTTTCTCGCTCGATAAATTATTTTTTTTCTGTGGCGCGTATTACTTTTTTATCTCTCTTGTCATATTTATTCAAAAACGCAAATAAATACCCATATACCTTTTAATAGAATATCTTAACCATGAACGCTAATTACAATTTTACCGATAAATCCGAGAAAACTCTTGCAGCAGCATTTCAAATAGCTCGTGACTATTCTCACGTACAATTAATTCCAGCACACATTGCATGTGCATTATTTGATGATACAGAAGGCGAATCCCTATTCAAAAATATAATTAATAAAGCAGGTGGTGATGCATCTTCAGCCGAGAGAGCATTTAAAAAATTGGTCGTAAGAGCTCCCGCACAAGATCCACCACCAACTGATGTATCACTAAGTCCTCAGGCTGGTAAAGTTATTCGTGCCGCACATGACATTCAACAGCGTCAGAAAGATAGTTATATCTCTCAAGATCATCTGATATTGGCTTTAACCGAGGATGCACAATGTTTACAAGCGTTAACTGAATCTGGTGTCTCAAAGAAATCCTTAGAAATGGCTATTTCTCAAGTGAGAGGGTGAGTTAATCGTTACTACACCATACTGTACTTACATATAGTAAGATTCATATTTATTAAAAAAAAACTTTTTTTTATATAGAAATCGTCATGTTGAATCAAAGAGTGCTGATGAAAATTATGAAGCTTTAAGCAAATATGCGGTTGATCTAATTCAATTGGCGAAGGCTGGAAAACTTGATCCGGTTATTGGTAGAGATGATGAGATTCGTCGCGTAATTCGTGTTTTAGCTCGGAGAACGAAGGTATCATATATTTAATTTGGTATTGATAGTATTATAGAATAAAGAAAACTATATATTTAACATATTAACCAATTTAATAGAATAATCCAGTGCTAATTGGTGATCCAGGTGTTGGTAAAACAGCTATTGTGGAAGGTCTTGCACAAAGAATTTTAAGGAAAGATGTTCCACAATCGCTAAATGCTAAATTATTTTCTTTAGACATGGGGGCGCTTATTGGTACGTAAAATGTAAATCAAGTTTTTATATTTATGAATTTGATTAATGAAATTCCCCTATTTTATAATAGCTGGTGCAAAATATCGTGGTGAATTTGAAGAAAGATTAAAAGCCATATTAAAAGAAGTAAAAGAATCTGAAGGAGGAATTATCTTGTTTATTGATGAAATCCATTTAGTATTAGGAGCTGGTAAAGCAGAAGGTTCAATGGATGCTGCCAACCTCCTTAAACCAATGTTGGCTCGTGGAGAATTACGATGTATTGGAGCAACCACATTAGATGAATATCGAAAATATGTTGAAAAGGATGCAGCGTTTGAACGTCGTTTCCAACAAGTTTTGGTTGGAGAACCTTCTGTTTTGGATACTATCAGTATTTTACGTGGATTGAAAGAACGTTATGAAATTCATCATGGTGTAAAGATTTCTGACACAGCTCTGGTAGCCGCAGCACAATTATCAGCGCGGTATATTACTAATAGGTTCTTACCTGATAAAGCCATCGATTTAGTAGATGAAGCTTGTGCAAATACTAGAGTCCAACTAGACTCAAGGCCCGAAATTATTGATCAATTAGAACGTCGTCACCTTCAACTTGAAGTCGAAGCTGCAGCCCTTTCAAAAGAAAAAGACGAGTCTAGTCGCCAAAGACTTGAAAAGGCTAAAGAAGAAATGGCAGAAATTGAAGAAAAATTACGACCTCTTAAGGCAAGATATGAGAATGATAAAGATCGATTTGATGAAATAAGAAGACTTAAGCAAAAATTGGACGAATTAAGAGCAAAAGCAGATGATGCCGAAAGACGTACAGATATTCAAACAGCTGCCGATCTTAGATATTATGCCATTCCTGAAGTTGAAAACCGTATTCAGGAATTACAATCTCAAAAAGATATAGATGATCAAAATAAGGCTGCTAATTCGAATAATAATGAAGAATATAATTTATTAACAGATACAGTTGGTCCAGAACAAATTAATGAAATAGTGTCAAGATGGACTGGTATTCCAGTATCACGTCTTTCCAAATCACAAGCAGAAAGATTGCTTACACTTTCTGAATCTCTACATAAGAGAGTGATCGGACAAGATGAAGCCGTTGATGCAGTTTCAAACGCAGTATTAAGAAGTCGTGCTGGTTTGGCACGTGAGAAGCAACCACTTGGAAGTTTTCTATTTCTTGGACCAACTGGTGTTGGTAAGACTGAACTTAGTAAAGCATTGGCTCAGGAACTTTTTGACGACGAAAAATTTATCGTTCGTATCGATATGTCAGAATACATGGAAAGGTATATTATATAATAATTTTTTTTTGTGAAATTAAAAAATGAATATTTTTATATTAACCTTTATTATTGTTATTTAGTCATTCTGTGGCTCGCCTCATAGGAGCACCCCCAGGTTATGTTGGTCATGATGAAGGCGGTCAATTAACAGAAGCAGTTAGAAGACGACCTTTTAGTGTAATCTTGTTTGATGAAGTTGAAAAAGCGCATGTTCAAGTTGTTAATATTCTTTTACAAGTATTGGATGATGGTCGTTTAACAGATGGTCAAGGTCGTCATGTTGACTTTAGTAATACTGTAATAATTTTGACAAGGTATGTATAAATAATAAAATATTGGATAATAATATCTATAAATATAATTAATTTGTTTATTATTAAACAGTAATTTAGGATCTCGTCATCTTCAAGGTCTCTCATCAGATTCAATTAATGATACGATAAAAGAAAAAGTTATGTTTGATGTTAAAACGCACTTCCGACCAGAATTCTTAAATCGCTTAGATGATATAATTATTTTTACACCACTTAGTGTTCAAGGTAAGTATTCTTTGTTTACTGTGAGTTTCTTCCTACAAGGAACTATGATTCACCAATTTTTTGATATATATCAATTCAGATATTCGTAAGATCGTTTATGTTCAATTGGAAAGATTGAACAATCGTTTAGAAGATAGACGTATAAAATTAGTCTTGAACGATGATGCATTCAAATGGTTCTCGGAATATGGGTATGATCCCGAGTATGGTGCACGCCCGTTAAACAGACTGATTAAACATAGAATCTTGAATCCATTGAGTAGACTTTTAATTGGTAAGTTTTAAAATAATAAATTTGTTGTATAAATTATTTTTAATTCTAATTATCAATAATCTATTTTAATAAATAGAGGGTAAAGTAAAAAATGGAGATGTAGTAAAAGTTTCTACTTCAAGTGATCATTCAGATATAGTTTTAAGGGGAGAAAACATAGGTGATGGAGTATTAAAGAGTAATAATATGGAAGATAACGAAATGTTGGTTGATGATATGGATTGATGATGATCAAGTGAAAAGAAAATAATACAATTATATAAAGTATTATAATACTAAAATTTTAATAGTGATATTAAAATTTTATGTAAACTTTATTCGGTATTATATGTATTATATTTTCTAGTATTACAGTATATTATTATATAATAAGTATTATAATATCCCTTTTAGTATTAATATTCTAGCTAGTATTATATATAATATTTTCCTAGTATATAATAGTAGTACTCTAAAATTTATAGTACCTCCAGGTAATATACAGTTAACAATAAAAAAAAGTAAAATTAAAAAGAGTATTGTAGTTATTATAATTTATATATTAATTGAAGATTCTGAATTTTTAAGTTTTTGTAATTGATTCTTTTTATATAATTTATATCCAATCAAACCGCTAGCAAACATTGAACTAGATAGTGCAATACCAAGAGAAATAAATACTAACATAATTGATCGAGGTTTTGGAGTTATCATTGAGAAAACAATGATTCCATTTTTATCATATGATGAGAACTATATAATAAAAAAATTCTCGAGTTATTTTTAAATTTAAAATGTTGAATTTTTGATTTTGATATAAAAAATTTACTTACACCCCACATTAAAGTAGTAAGAGAGGCTTGAGATAATATATTTAAAATCCACATTACATATACTAATAATAAGAATGATAACGAATCATATTGTTCATTATACCAATTAGCATATTTTTTTATTGATTTTTGTTTTTTAATATAGTCGTTATTTTTGCTTTTAAATAAAAGTTGTAATATTATTATGAATGGAATTATACGTGTATGAAATGATAATAATGAGAGAGCGGTAAAAATCCCGTTGAGAACTATATATAAAAGATAAATAATGTTAATTAAAAGTTTGCGACGCAGTAACCTAATAAATCACGCGAAATGCAAAAAAAATAACAATATTAACTTTGAGAAAAAATTTCGACCCAAAATGCTTTCTTTGTATCTCCAAGTTTAATCCAATCAAGTAAAATTAATACTAAAGCTGCACCAGTTATACAAATTATAAGCATTACAATTAAAGTAATAATGTTCTTTGGACTTTTTAATGAAATTATTATTTTATTCCAATTTTTGGGTTTATTTTCTGGTTGATTAATAGGAATTGAAACATCCATTATTTATAATTGGAATTAGACAAGTTATCTAAATAAATTTTTTTTTTTTTTAATAATAATAATAAAACTAGAAAATTTATCAATAATTATTTTTCTTTTTTTTTTGTTTTTAGGAAAAGGAAAAATATTTGGGCTTATAAGAAAAAAAATGTTTTACGCCCCCCATCATCTTTCTTCTCTAGATTTAGCTGACATACAATGAAATAAGAATAAGGTAATAATAATAATTTTTGCAACACGGTTATGTAGATCGTTAAACTTTGCAAAAAAAGATCATCAAGTTAATAATTAACATTCTAATTAACATTCTATTACTATTTACTATTTCGAAAAAGGATTAACTTTAGATAACTAATCGACGTATAATGCATTTAATTACTCAAAAATGGGTTGAACTCTTTTTTTTTTTAAAACAGATATCATGTTCAATAAAATTTTACAATTTAAAAAACAATGAAAAATAAAGTTTGATAAATTATTGTAGCCCGTTCGATCGATTTTTCTAACATGATCACTAATTAATATAATGATGCTTAATAATTACTCTAATTGTCATAAGATAAATGTCAGCATGACAGCATTTATATTTTTCCTGAAGGAACTTTCGAAGGTTACATCCATCCTTTTTTAGATGGCTTATGTATAATTTTAGTTGGCTTATATATAATTATAATTGGCTTATGTATAATTATAGTAAGTCAAATTAGCCATGATTTTTACTTTTTGGGAATGTTTTCCGAAGAATGTACGATTCAATAAAAAAAGGGGTTAGTTTTTATTAACCTTTTCATCTGCTTTTCATGTTTAAAAAAAAAAAAATATGTTGAAAAAAAGATTTTGGGAAAATGATCATGGTAATGTTATCTTAATTTATAATATTTATAAAATTTATAAAAAAATGTAATTTGTAAGTGAGAAAAAAAAAAAAAATAGAGTTGATACCACCAGTTAGGATTTCTAAAGAAACTGATAGATGGAAAAGAATTCGACGTGATGATGATAATGATGATGAAACTAATGAAGGTAATCAAACAATTTTTGCATTTTTGATGATAATTTAAATATTTAATTTTATTTAATTTTAATTTATCTAATTTTATTTAAATTATTTAATTAATTTAAATATTTAAATGTTATTTTAATTTATTAAATTTTAGATATCGAAACACTTTATTCAAATGTTATGCAACATGTTATGAAAAATTACGTGAATTTGACATATCAAACAATAGTTGATACAATGCTTGACATAAAATGTTGTGCTCGATGTATATTCAGATTCTTGGGAATACGAGATTACAAATGTTATGCGAAGTCTGAAGAAGTAATTATTTAATTATTAAATTTATTTATAATAATAATAATAATAATTTAAAATAATTATTTAATAATTATAAAAAGGTATTACTTAAAATTTTAAATCGAATTCGTTCAACTTTACAAGAAGATTCTCAACATCCATCAACAAATATCCTTTTATCTAAAACACAAGATAAACCGATTTGTACAACATGTTTTGATTTAATTTATCAAGCTGATACATTAGAATGTTTATGGCCAATAATTGAAAGTTTTAATTCACATAATTTTCAAGTTAAAACTTTTAATTTATCAATTACTTTACCTTCCGGTATAATAATTAATAATCATTCTGTTAAAGTTTATATTAGACAAAAATTCAGGTATTTCTCTATAATATATTTCTTTTTAATTGAATCAGACCAATTTGATAATATGATTAACACATTTTAATTTAACACAACATTTATTTTTATTGAAAACTAAAATTAGGGAAAGAAATTTAACTGTTGATTTAAGTAATGTAATAGATTTAAAAGAACCTTTTAAATATTTATTAGGATGGTCAATTGAAAAAGAATTAGATTTAAATCATAGTTTTCAAAGTCCTTTTATTATTTCTATAGAATATTATCATGGAATCACTCAACAAAATCATTTAATACTTACTAGAATACCATCAGCTGAATTTAAATTAAAAAAAGTTAGAATGAAAGGAAAAGCTGTATGGACAGGAGATTCAAGAAATAATATTATTGCAGCTTTAGAAAAAGTTCCGGATTCTGATTTTATAAGGTAAATTTTTATAATAAAAAAATATATATTTTTTAATTAAATTAATTTGATCTTTGTGTAATTTATTTATTTAGTATAGGAAATTGTCCACCATTGGAAGAAAAGGAAAGATGGAAAAATTATTTTCCAATATTAGAACATTCGGCTGTATATGTTGGGGGAAGATATATAAAATTATCAAGAGAAATAAGTCAATCACCTTGGATTATAAATGGTGAAAGATTAGCTAAAACTTCTGTTTCAGAATGTAGCGGAGAAATTTTAAGAGAAAAATTTAGATGTGATGGTAAATATAAATAGATTAAAAATTTACACATTTTATATTTTTAGATAATTCGTTTAACTAACTGAATTTTATATAGATTATAATTTTGTAGCAGCTGGTAGAGAAGATGTTAATGTTAGAATGTTAGGTAATGGTAGACCTTTTTATTTTGAAATAATAAATCCAAGGAAACCTTTTCTTTCCCAGCAAGAATTAGATGATGCACAAAAAGAAATCAATGAAACTCAAAAAGATTTAATACAAATAAATCACTTGACTATGGTTACTGAGTAAGTATTATTATATTTTTTTTTCTTGATTAAATGAATATAATTTTTTTTTTAACTTAATTATTAACATAGACGAGATTTAGTTATAATCAAAGAAGGAGAAGAGACAAAAAGAAAAACGTATAGGTATGAAATTCTTTACTTCTTGTTAAATAATATGTTTATTTTACTTATATAAAATTGTATATATTAGCGCACTTATATGGATATCAAAAATTGTTACTCCAGAGATTATTGATAAGATTAATCAATATCAAGATAAGGAACTTACCATTCAACAACAAACACCAATTAGAGTTCTTCAAAGGTATAAAAAATTTTTTTGGTCAAAAAAAAAAAAAAAAGTTATCATACCTATTTACTACAATTTCTATTTTTAATTTAGACGAGCACAAATGATTCGACCTAAAATAATATATTCAATGAAAGCGGAAGCATTAGAAAATCATTTTCTGACTATGCAACTTCAAACTGAAGCTGGAACGTATCTTTTTATATCATACAGTATACTGTATATATATTATTCTTTTTTTTTTAAAAAAAAAAAACTTCCTTGACAAAATTACTTTTTCTAACTTACAGATATATTAAAGAATTTATTCATGGAGATTTAGGTAGAACTAAACCTAGTTTAGGAGATTTACTTGATTGTTATGCTGACATTTTAGCTTTAGATGTTTTAGAAGTTGACTTAAAATGGCCTCCTAATAATAATTAGTGATTTAGTGGTGAATATTCGTGTTATAAAGTGTTGATCACAGCATGTAAAAAAAAAACCAAAAAAAGCAATAAACCACGCGATCAGCTACTAAAGTCATAATTTTCGACAACGAGTAAAATTATATTATATAAAATATGATAGTTTAATAAATGAATATTCTGCAGATCATACTTAATAATATGCGTCGAAGTTTAATCGTTTCTATTTTTGTAATTTTGTAGTAACGGAAAGCTGCAAGAACCCCAATTTTTGATTATCTTGAAAAGGTATATAAACGATAAAATTCCGAGAAAGTAAAATAAAAATTTCAAAATCTTGACTACATCCGTATTTATTTAATAATAATATTTAAAAAGGTTACATACAAATATATGTATAAAATAATATGAATAATAATAATAAAAAACAAATCGAAAGAAAAATAAACCAACCCATTTAGATTTATACTATCTTAAAATTAATTTATTACTTACAATTCTTGTTTTACCGATTCTGTAGATGAAATTCCATTAGCAAATCTTTTTTTAAAAGGTAAAAGATTACCTTCTCCATTTTCCCACTGTCTAGCGCTGGAGTCGTCAAATATAGCAAAGGAGATATTTTTATAAGTTTTACGTAAATTTTCTTTCCCACCAGAATATTCTTTACTAATAACTTCATAAAATAATTGAGCTATAGTTGATGGTGGATTAGCAAATGCCCCGCAACCGAATGCACTTAATACGATCGCATCATGACCTATGTGTATAGAAAAAAATATATATTTACATATAAAGAAACGAGAAAAAAAAGAATTCTTTATTTACTTACCATTATCTAAACCAATATTTAACATTGTACGAATTTTATTTCTAGTTATTTCTTGATCTTCTTCATTTAAAGTAGGTTTATTATTATGTTCCACCAAATATGGGTGAGCTATAGCAGCAACAGCCTATTAAAATCAAACAAAAGATTTGGAAAAAAAATAATTTTTTTAAAGGTATTCTTTCCTCATAACAAAAAATTTATGTTTACCACAAAAGACATTGTTTCAGGTTTTTCAAGAAGTTCATATCCTTCTTGTTCACTAGCTTTGATGACAGTGGCATTAGGACAATAAATTCCACCAAGTAAAGGTATAGGATACCATTGATCTTTATTAGATTCATGATATTGATATAAATTCGTTCTACGAAACAAATTCTCTTCTTGAGCACCAGAACCATAAAGATATCCGCCTCCTGGAACTTCAGCATTAGCCATATTTAATACAATAGGATTATGTCCTTCACTTTTTAATTTTAATGCATGTTTTAAACAATCTCCATCTACTACTTGAATTTTTGGGTTCGGTTGTATTTGAGGGACAGTAGGGCGAAAGATACTGGTACCGGTTTTATATAATTTTGATTTGGATATTTCTATTGAAATGTTAAAAGGGTCTAAATCCATCCGTTTTCCTGATTTATTCACATATCCGGGATTATCGTTTTGAAATACATCGAAGGTATCATATTGAACTTTCAAACGATTCTCTACCATGTTTAATAAATCTAAAGATAATATTTTACAAAATGACGGTGAAAGAACAAAAGAATTTAATTTTTCATTTAAGAACAAAAATAAAACCAAAAAGGTCTTGTGACGGACCATTGATTCCGTTGATTTACTATAATCGGGAAGATCGCTTAGAAAAGATTATCTGTTTTATCACATGAAATTAATTTATAAATGAAAAAGAAAGCACAGCAACTGTGTCATTATTTCGTCAGGAAAAATAATTATTAATTATTACGCGAAAAAAATTCATTATGGTTCATATTAGTATGGAACGGAATCCCTTAATTTGCGATAGATTGAAAAAAAAGGAACCCACGGAAATCTTTATCGCTACATTTGCTTGCTTATGAAAGAAGTTATGCAAATTAAGTATTAATTGATCACGTATATAGAAACCGATTATCATTTTATAAAACGTGATACCTTTATTGGTTTGATACCTCCAGGAATTAGAGGATCTAGTGAATTATTTTCATTATAAAAAATTTATGATTAATAATTATATAATAATTATAATTTTTTAGCAACATGATTTATAGAGGATAGCAAAATTCTTGATAAGCGTAATAAAATGAAAAAGTTACATCTATAGTATTTAAGGCGCGTCATATAATTTACGAGATATTAAATCGGGAGGATCAATTATCATCTTTAAAATCGTTGGTTCAAATAATGTGCGAATTAAAAAGTATTGTATTAATACATGAAGAAACCTGGTTTCTTTATTTGTGAAATACAATTTAGAAAAAAACATGGATAATAACAAAATGAAAATAAAAATAAAAGAAAAATAATAATTTACTTCTAATATACTCTATATTATATTAAACGCCATTCAGTGTTAGAACCATCAGTTGTAGTAACACTTTCAATATCAGACACTTCATTTAATTCTTCAAAAGAAAATTCTGATGAATTTTCATCTAATTCTTCAATAGAATCATCAGTTTCATCTTCATTATAAGTATTATTACTTATTATAACATCTTTTCTTGTTGAATTTATTGGATGAGGATTTCCAAAAGTATCTACAATAATTTCTTGATGATTTTTATAATCATAATCTTTCTCTTCGTTTCTTTCGTCTCTTTCTTCAGTTTTATTATTCAAAGAATTCAAGAAATCTTTAGTTTTTTCTTCCATATTCGTATTATAAAAATTTTCATAATTTTCATAATTATCATAAATTTTTTTTGGTCTTAAAGGACTATAAGGTTGAAGTGGAGATCTATCGGTTTGAAATATTTTACCAAAAGAATTAATTCTAACATAGTTTGTTTGTCTAATTCCTAAACCATTATCTAATTGATTTATTATTTCTTTAATATCAATAATATCATAAAAATATTGTCCATTCCAATTAAAATTTTCAATAAAAGGTAATTCAAAATTTTCAAAATAATAAAATATTTTTTTAAGTTTTGTCGGTAAAAATAACATAATTTCTGTTATTAACATATTATAAATATTATTTTCTAAAAATTCATATAATTTTATTATTAAAATAAATATTTCTTTATCAATTTTAATTAAACCTTTGTTATCATAAATTTTTTCATAACATGAATTAAATGGTCCTTTACTTTGTTCTAATTTCAATTTTGTTTGAATTGTCTCTTTTGATTGTTGATATTCGAATGATGTTACGGAAATATATGGATTATTCTCTTCTTCAATTTCTTTAAGTGAATATTCTTTTTCTTCTTCAATTTCTTTAAGTGAATATTCTTTTTCTTCTTCAATTTCTTTAATTAAATATTCTTCTCTTTCTTCAATTTCTTTAATTAAATATTCTTCTTTTTCTTCAATTTCTTCAATTAAATATTCTTCTTTTTCTTCAATTTCTTTAATTAAATATTCTCTTTCTTCAATTTCTTTAACTAAATATTCTTCTCTTACTTCAATTTCTTTAACTAAATATTCTTCTCTTACTTCAATTTCTTTAACTAAATATTCTTCTCTTTCTTCAATTTCTTTAATTGAATATTCTTCTTTTTCTTCAATTTCTTCTTCAATTTCTTCTTCTCTTGTTAAATTTTTTGTAAATTTATAATCATTTAATGATAATAATTCTTTTATATAATCTAATTCTTTATTTTCTTCATTATTTTTATATAATATATCTTTTAATTTGTTTTTATTATAATAATAAGATTGTTTATTCGAATTCATCTCTTTATAATGAATAAAAGAATAAATGACAAATTACAATAATAATACTAATTATTCGATTAATTTTTTTTTATTTATTTTATTTTATATATATATATATATTTTCTCTTATACACATCTAGANAAAAAAAAAACTTTACCGAAAAGAAATTTTATGCACTCGTTTTTTTAAACAATATCACAAAAATTTTTCATTTGTTGATCATTTCATTTAGTTACGCCATAATATCCTACACAAGGTAATAATATCCCGAAATGACGCAATATTTCGGTTTTGCAAATCCGAGAAATCCGAAATTTCTTACATAAAAAATTAATTGAGAAAAATAGTCACCCAATTAAGAGATAAAATTTTTATATGCTCGAAACTTTTTATTTGCAAATTGTAAATCTATCCATATATTTTTATCCTATAAACAATTATACTGCTGCATTGTAATAATTCATAACGGAATGCATGTTATTAATAGTTTGTTGGATGCCGCAATAATATACGTAAGATTATTAAATCTAGTCGCAAGGCGAGTAAAATAAAGCTTAATTAAATCATATCAAACCAACAACTGCTTTCTTCTTCTTCAATTTCCTCAAATTCATCATCAAAATCCTCAAAATTAAAGTCTTCAAAATCTTCAAAGTCTTGCCCCGTTATCTTCCGATCTTGTTGAGATGATGATCCTTCAGAAAATATTTCCTCATTATTTGATTTTTTATCAATAATTCGGTTAATTTGTTCCCAAAGAGTTGGCGGAGGTCTTTGATCTGAAGTAGGATCCTCGCTAGGAGAAGTAAAAATTCCTTTAGAAAATCTTTGTTGAACCCATCTCTCCAAAGCCAATCTTTTTCCAGATTCAGAATCAACTCTCCTAGTTGATATCGTTCTTGGTCTACCAAAATAACGACGCCACGGCATATCAAATCGGTCAATGAACATACCATCTTCCCAATCAATATCATTCAAATAATCATTATTATAAACGTATCTCAAATTATCATAATCAGTGTATTTGAAAAACCAATTCATTTCCGTCATAATTTGAACAATTCTATCAGGATCACCAATCCCATGTTCAATAAAACTATTACAAAGACGTGAATCTGAACGAAGAGAAAGACCATGTTCTTTGAGCTTGGAGGTAAGAAGATTACGACGATCATTTTCTTCACGTTCCATTTTTTTACTATTCAATCGAGTATTACAATTTCTACAGAGGTTATGTCTCAGAATTAACTTTGAAGTAGACGAATTAGGTTTATCAAGACTTTTGGTGGTAGACATATTTACATGTTCAACAGAAGTTGACAAATCAGAAGTTGTATTTGATTGAGAGAAAGTTGTTAAATCTTGTGAAGATGAAGCTACGCTAATTGATAAAGAAGAAAGGTCGGATGCTCCAAATAGATTACTTTTTTCGCAAAGTTCGTTCTTGTTATCAGTGGATTCCATGTCGATATTTTCGTCAGAAATATCTTTTTCAACCAATTTAATTGGATTTCTGAGAACATTAGGATTCTCAACGAAGTGTTTCTCAAAAACACAAAATTCGTGATTAACATTCTCCGCATTAAAAATTGGATACCAATCAATTTTTTCGCTAATACAAAATTTTGCAATTTCGTAACTATTGGTTATCACTGTTTGAATATTTAATCTTTCTATCGCATTAGATTTCCTAAAACATAAACTACAAAAATTTTGATTTCTCCATTCTCTTTCAACGACTGATTTATAAGTTTTATACTTCCAAGCTCTGGGCTTTGGTGGAGGTAAATCCATTTTATAGGTAAGATGACGCCAATAAAGATGAGTATCAGCTGCTGCCTTCCATGATTTACAAACTTGAGCTACTCGCGTAAAATGTACCGGATGTTCAACCAAGTTGCTGAATATCTGACAGAGTGTCTCTTGAGGTAATCTCATGGCAATTGGAAGATCAGATGAGAGCGCTATTGGAGTTGATTTAACCGGTTCTTTTCCTTTACGACGTGTAGTAGTAGTTTTTTGGCGTTTACGATTTGACATTTTAGTATCAATTTTGAGATCATTTTCTAGAGATGATTTTTGATCCATTTTCAACCTGTTTAAATGAGGATAAAAAAAGGACAGAAAGTATTGTAAAATTAAATTTGATAAGTTATTGATTTGATTAAGAATTAAATTGTGTATTTATGAGATAAAGTCTATCAAAAAAGAAAGAAAAAATAAAAAATAAATTAAAAATGTATATAAATGATAAAAAAAAAAAAAAATCTCGCGTACTTTTGTAAAAAAAAAAGAAAAATATATATATATATATAATTATTATAAGAACTTTTATACTCGACTTTTTATATAAAAGAAAAAAAAATCGAAAAAAGTTTTGTCTTAATAAAATCAAAATACTACATATATATAATATAATTAATATTATGAATAATTTCAAACCAGGTGATTAAATATTATCAATATCATTGAAATATCGAGTAATAATTATATCGATTTTTTTATTATGATAATATACATATTATTAATACAATACTATTGATTATAATAAATCAAAGGGTGTCGGCTAAAGAAGTTTTAATAAAAAATAATAAGTTTACGATATAGCGATATAGAAGAGACTATATACCTTATATAGCTTATACTGTATATCTATTCTGGTGTCTTATACTCGAAAAGACGAAAAGTGTGTAATAATAATAATTACAATTATTTTTGCCGCGTTTTTTTGTCAACAGTCTTTCAAAAAGAGCAAAAAATAATCTTATTTATAGTTGTTCTCATTATGATATTTCTACGCAATATACTTCAGAAAGGTTCACTTACTATACTAAACTTCTTTTGAAGTAATTGCTGCGCCATCACCGATACTTCTCCTTGTGTCACAATATCATATTTCACATTATTCTTTTTATAAGGAAGAAACGATTAACAATAACAAATAAAGCTAAATTAATTGATCTTTAATAATAGCTTATTTCTGTTTGAAACTAATCCATCCTATTTATGTCTAACTCACACAATCTTTTATGATAGATAATATGTTAAACCGCGTTTTTTTTTGTATATAATCATGAATATTTATTATTTTAAAAAATTTAAAATAAATATACAATCAAACAAACAAATAAATAAATAAATAATTGTACAGAAACCAAACCAAACCACTTAATATTTATAAATTAATAGGGGATAAATAAGCGAAAACGGCAAATAATAATACTGTATATACGAGAAGTTCCGAGGGTCTAAAAAAAAGAAGTTTTCAAGTAAATTAACGCGTTATTATTTCTTAATTTAATTTTATTTAATTTACTTACGATCTACGTGTAGTTTTTATTTTTAATTCACGTTTGATACTTGGTACGATACCAATATTTTCCCATTTTTGAATTTCTTTATGATATTCTTTTAAAGGGCCAAATTCTCCTTTAGTATTTATGCAACTGAAAGAGGAAGGGGGAAGTGGTTCGTTAATAGCGTTTGTCACTTTATTTATGAATTCGACTGTACGTTCATACGATTTTGTAGTACAGGGATGATCAAACATCTAAAGTAAAAAAACGGAAGAATTTTTTTTTAAAAAAAAACACAATAACTTTTATTGTAAACTAAAACTAATATTTTATCTTACTTGGAATACATGAGGCATTTCTTCATATACTTCTAGTGTAGTATTTGTCGGAGCTTGGAATGGAGATTTTTCAAATTTACCAGCATTATAAGATGGACCTTTATATTTAGCTGGTTCAGCAGATCTATGAGCAAGATAAATTGCTTCATCTCGCAATCTCTCACTATCTCCTGCTACCTGTATTATTCATATAAATTTTTTTCAGTACGAAAATTTCTTAATAAAGATCACATGTTACTTATCCTTACCAGTAATAAAGGAGGCAAACCGCCTAAGCTCTCAGCTAACATTGGACTAACGTATGGAATTGCCAAACCTTCATTAGGTGCATACATTTGTATTCTTCCTTCAGGTCTATCAAAAGAATCATGCCAAATTTTGGGACCAATATTTTGTTTCTTAATTTTTGCTGTGAGGGCAGCAGCTTTTTCTTTATATTCAATTTCAACTTGAGATTCTTTGTGAATAAAACTCTTCGAAGGTTTTGGAATATAGTCGCAACATTCTTCATCTAACATTGAAGGCATACTAACTGTAAGGTCAACCCATGGACTCTGTAATGTGGCGCAACATAATCATGTGAATAATTAGTAATTCAATAATATAAAAAAACTAAACCTTATTTATTTACCCAACCGATGATACCAGCGCATGATGGTAAACCAGCGTCACGTATAGCGAGAGCAAGAGCCATGCTTAAACCTCCCCCAGCACTATCACCAAAAATTACAATATTTTTTGGATTTAAAGGTTCAAATCCCGCATCTTTTGGAGGATTTAAGAGGTACAAATAAGCAGCCAATGCATCTTGTAGTCCGGCGGGAAATTGATTTTGAGGTGCAAGCCGATAATCGATTACTACATAAATAATTTAATTAGGTAAAATGTTGATTTATTGGAAATTTTATTCTTTTAAGTTTGACTTACTTAAAACTCTTGCGTTTGCTTTTTTGGCAAAAGAACATGTAATATTACGATGAGAACCTTTACTACATAAATAATAAGCTCCACCGTGTAAATACAAAATAGTTTTCCTAATTTCTCTTTTTTCCCACTCATCATTAGGAACTTGAACCCATTCAGAAATAATTCCATCCTCTTTTAAATCTTTCCATTCAGTATCTAAAACATGTTCATAAGGTTTCAAAATCTTCTCAAGATGAGCTTGAGCTTCGTATCGATATTTATTGTTTATCTTGATTTCGTTTGCCATCATGCCAGCTAATACGGGAACAGGACGAGCACTCCCAATTTGCATTTCTTCAATTGTCTGACTCTCGGTATTCTCGAGAATTGATTTAAGCATTATCATAGCTAAATGATTTTTTAAATTCCAAGAAGGTTTCGGTGGTCCATTGAGATAATGTTTTATTGTTGTAGAAATTAATAATGGGGTTTTTGGCACTACGAGTTTTACAAAATTGGCCATTTTCAATGTTGTAAAAACTAAAATGCTAAAGATTCGGTATAAATAATGGTTCTATTTATAAAAAATCTTACGGAAAAACAATCGGCCCATTTATTATTCCAATATGACAATTTAGATTTTGGTATCACCACTTATCAAATCCTCATTAAAAAATTTAATTAATATATATTATAATACCTAAATAAAGTACTTCATTGTTTTAAAAGTCTTAACTTGAAGTCGAAAGCCGAATCAATCGCAAAAAAAAAACCTTTTCATATAATAAGCTAATTCTTTGTAGCTAAATTTTATCAAGATGTATCTTGCATTGGCTAATCTTAAATTTAATGTTCAACCATCGGATAATTTTTCAATCGACACCCGTTATGTATGACACATTTCTCATATGTTAGTGATAACTTTAAAACTATTTACATTTTTCTAAACCTCCTTATTGTTTTATTAAAAAAAAGCTGTTTTTAGTTAAATTTTGCGTATGTAAAATAATCTAGGATTAAAATGAAAATAATAATTTTTACTATTTACTATTTAACATATTTAATTATAATTTTTTAACCGATGTGGACAAAATCCCGACATCCATTTTCCCGACAGGATACATTAGTTTTACTGTAATGCTGGTCAAAGTTGTCGGGAAAATGTCTTGTCGGGAAATCGTATGTCGGGAAATCGTGGTGTAACCTTTTTTAACAAAATAGCTATTTAAATAAAAATTAATATTTCGGCTTGCTTAATATATTATTGTATTTACCTCTAGATTTCTTGAAATTAGGTTTATTATTGCAAGTTTATTTTGAATATTTTAGAATAATTTTAATTTATATTTGTACTAAATATTTATGCTATATACTTTTTATCATCATTATAAGTCATTACTTTATAATTATATTTAAAATTCTCTAAAAAGAAAAATTAATTTGGTAAGTATAGCATGTATTTATATAAGAAAATCTAATTTTTGATACAATATTATATATAATAATTTTGATATATTATAAAAAATATAATTTCTAAATAGATTTATAGGAATACTTTTACTAAATCAAAAAATCCTATATGAAAATTAATATATTAATCCATTTTCTTTACTTTTAAATTAAATTTAACCATCTATTGTTAAGATCAAAAAAAAATTTCAATACAGAATTGAAAAAAAATCTCAAATAAAGCAACTTCATAATAATTAATATCAGAATTATTTTATTATTAAGTAGAACACAATTTTATAAAATTGTTTTCTACTTGTGCCAAATTGAAATCTAGTACTTTATAGGTAAATTGAGTTCTTCTTAAAGGTAAACTGCTGAATTCTTCTTATAAGTAAACTATGCAGGTAGCTTTCAATCTGATATACATCCTTTTATTTATCCTGTTTATTATTTAATTGTTTATTACTTTCAAAAATGATTACACTTTAGAAGCTTTCAATCAAATATATAAGTATATTTGAAATAGTTTGTAGTATATTTCCAGTAAAATTAAAAAGTCATTGTCAAAATATTATGCCATTAGCAAAATCAATTACATCAATTAAATTATATTAATAAAATATATAAAATATAGTAAATTACAACATTATATTACATCTGAAATAATTCAAAAAATTAATTCTGCTGATAAGTATAATTTGTAAAATAATTGCTTATATGGGCTTAAGTCTTAAGAAGTAAATTGGCCACTTTTCTACTTTATTTATTTACAAAAAAAAGTTTCAGAAAATCTGATAAATAACTGAAAAGACATTTCTGCTGTAATCAGTCATATAAAAAGTCTATTGCCTTTCTAGAATATACTAACTGTACTATAAAATCATTAGAGCTATATAATTTTGTAATTTCAAAAATGATTAGTTTAAAGAATTTCACTATTAGTAATTATTATTTTGCTAGAAATTGAATTTGAAAATCCAAATAATTTCCATTTAAATAGTTTCAATAAATGGATTTCATTTTGCCAATATGAAATTTAAAAACTCAAGTAATATTTAACTTGATAACTAAAAGTAATTAAAGTTTATTTTTACTTACTAATATTTAAAATCTAAGTGATATTCAGATTAATGTTTAAGAGTTATTAAAATCTATTTTAATCTGCTAACATAAAATTTAAAAATCCAAGTATTTTTTTTTAAAAGTTTAAAAAAAGTATTATTAGTAAAAAATCTATTGATAATTAAATTGGTAATAATTTTATATAACTTTTTAGAATTTAAAAGTTGGTTTATTGCTTTTTAGTTTACTGTTTCCAGTGGCTTTAATATCATTAATTAAAAAAATTAAAAGAAAAAATATAA